TAATTACCCTTCCACCTAAAAATGACAATAGTAGCTCTGGAAAAATCAAGAGGATTAATTGCAAAAGATACTCCTGATCAAATAAATGTTCTTGAAAATTTCAACAAAGAATCTGATAATGAATCCACTCCTTAAATAAATAGACTCACATGGAAAAATCCACAAAAACTTTATTATTCTAGATCTACCCCTCTTGATATAGCCTTAGAAGAATCATCACAAAAAGTTCAAAATAAATATTCTCATGATGCTATATATGAGTAGAATATAGATGGTGTAGCAGAAAATAATATAATCAACACATTAAACCTCATGATAGCAAATGCTTATAAAACCCAACAAGAAGTCTGTAGTAGCTAATCTTTTAGTTGCTAAATTCACAGGCCAGTTAAAAGGTTGGTGGAATAATTACTTAACACATGAACAAAAAACTCAACTATTGAATGCATATAGAATATATGAATATGGACAATGTATTCAGGATGAAAATGGAGAAATTATTCAAGATGTTGTCAATACACTTAATCACTTAATTTTCCATATCCTAACACTTTATAGGAGACCCTTCACATATAAGAAATAGGAATCAAGACCTTTTATCAAATATGAAATGCAAATACTTAAGAAAGTTTAGGGAATATAAATACCTCTTTCTACAAAGAGTCTTTGTTATACTTGATTGTAATAAACATTTTTGGAAAGAAAAATTATTAGCAGGATTATCCCAATTAATAGGAGACGAAGTCCGTAATAAAATTAGAGAAGAATATGATGGTCAAATCCCCTATCACTTATTATCCTATAGAGGTTAGTTTCATATGTTTATAAACAAGGAACACAAATGTAACTCGATCAAATTAGAAAGACAACTTAAAAAGGAACAATCAATTACTAATAAAGACTTAGGTGACTTTTGCTCACAATATGATCCTTCATATACTAAAAATAAAAAATCAAATTTTCGAAAATGTATTTCACAACCTCAAAAGAGAAAATTCAAAAATTATCAAAAGAGCAAGCCACAGAGATAAACCAAGTAATCCTAAGAGAAAAATCAACAAAGATATTGATTGCTATACATGAGGAAAAAGAGGACATATTTCAAAATATTGCATAGTTAATAAAAGATTACATGAATTGTCAATAGACAAAAAAACTCTTTATCAATTAAATGATATAATGATAGCAATTAACAATGAAACTTCGTCCAAATATTTTTTTGACAAAGGAGACCTTTAAATTTATGAAAATGAAACTTCGCTGAATTAGAAATTGACGATTCCCCCTCTAATGAGCCAACTCCGGAAATAAATTTGTTAACTGTGATATCCCCGATTTCAGGCCTAGGGAGCCGAGGGCTAGTGATAAATGGATGAGCGGGTAATTCGAGCCGAGGGTCGGTAATGGAATGGACAATATGATCGAAACGAGTGTACTGAGAGTTGATCATGGGTCGATCGAAAGATTATCCATGAATTGGCCTCGGGATCGACAGTGGAGTGACTCCCTGACTACGCAAAATGATTAGAGTAATATGATTGTGGAGTGACCCTTCGACCATAAGGGCCGTAAGTGGAACGGTCTGGGATAACGGTGGATCAGTCCGATGTCGGCATGTATCGGTCGCGGGTGATACCGCATGGCCATGCATCGGTCACATATGACCATGAGTTAATTTCGAGTACTGGATGCCACGAGGCAACATGACAACCGAGGGTCAACCATGGGTCGTTGATACTCGAACCTGGACCGGTCGCGAATCGGCCACGAATCATTGCGTCAAGTCAGATAGGCCATGGACGAGCCATGTACTAGACCACGAGCCTAGTGGCTTGGCCGCGGACTAGGCCATATGCCAGTCGCGTCGGCCAGGCCGTGTGCCCGAACGTGATCGGCCATTGTACCCGTCGGCTCGGCCACGGACCGGCTACTTGCCTGGTCGTGTGCCGGCCATTGTGCTTGACCCTTGTGCCAGGCGTTGTGCCCGTAAGATCCGGTCCGATCTAGTCCCGTGCCCAAGACATAGGGCCATGAGCCGTGCATCGTGCCCTTCATGAGCCGTTGCGCGTGTTTGGCCGTGAACCGATTCTTCGCTCGTGTGACTAGGTGTGGTGCTCGACACGTCGCCCATGCGGCCGGCATGGTGCTCGGCACATTGCACGTGCAGCCGGCATGGTGTTCGGCACATCGCCCATGCAGCCCGGCGCAGCGCCCGTGCTACCCGGTCATGGCCCGGCCTCGTGCCTGTGTGGCCCAATAGTACGCCAGGCTACGCGCCCAGTCAGACCCGGCCATACGCCCAGCAACCCGGTTTGCTTGGGTTTATTCCATTTTGCTTGGGCCTTGGTTTGGTTGTGTTAAATGGTTTTTGAGGATATTCTCGCATCGAACCTCGGGTTGAATGGGTCAACTAAGCGTGGACAAACCTCGGAAATTTGGAGAATAGTATGATGCGGGATTACGATTATAGTGTCGTTACCGGTTTCGTGTAAACCGATTGGCATGAGAAGTTTTTGTGTGGAACCAGCAAGCTTGGGAGGCTCCCACGGTTCAGACTTGCTGAGGAAAAGAAGACAAAATTGGTTGACTTGGTCAAAAGTTCATTTAAGGCCATTTAATGCCATTTATGGCCTTCATAATTAGACCCCCATTAGGTGTCCCCTTCTATTATTGATGACCAGCTGAGGTGTGCCATGCATTAAAGGCCAATTGATGACTCAATGACCATCAGTAATGGGGCACAAGGCAAGGCCATTCGGCCAAGCCAAGGGGAAACCGAGAGAGAGAGGCCATTCGGCCAAGAGAGAGAGAGAGAGAGAGAGAGAGAGAGAGAGAGAGAGAGAGAGAGAGAGAGAGAAGCCAAGGGATAAGATCCAATTTAATGCCCTTAATTGCCATACATCATGACTTTTGGCTCTTGTGCATGAATGCACATTAATGCTTGGCTTCTTTTACAAGCTTGATGACTCTATAAAGAAGAAGCTCACGTGAGAAGCCCGCTAGAAATCAGCCATCATCTTCTCTTTTGCCTTCTTACCTTCCTCATCCACGCCCAAAGAAGCATAAGCCAACCTTGTTCTACCTCTTTGCTTGATCGGCCAACGAGAAAATCATACCCGAGACTCGCCCGAGGCCCCGTTTTTCCCAAAATCAAGCCTGTTCCGTGCTCAAGCCAAGCCACCAGCCACTTTCTTCTTCTAGTCTCTTGTCTTCTAGTGGTTGTTGAGTAAGTGAATTCCCTAATATCGGGAAAGGAAGTTGCGATACGTTGTAACATGGGTTGCTTGGCCTGTTTCTTGGTTTCGTGGTCGATTATAGTTTGTTCTTTCTTGACAAGTGATGCTCACGTGTGACGCTCATGTTTGGTGTTTGTTTTGTTGTTTCGTAGCATGAACTTTGCTATTGATTTGCCATCGATGCCGGTACGGTAAGAGCCGACTTGTGTGAATGGCGATTGTCTCATCCTCGCTTGATATTATAGTTTTCACTTATTGAGTCTCCCCGACTCACTCCCGTTGTTTTTCCTCTTTTCAGGTCCGTAGCATGGCATCTCCCCCAACCCGGTTCGGAAACCCCGTGGAAATGAGAGCCAAGGTGCTCACGGTTATCGACGCCCGATAAGGTCGCGCTTACCATCGCATCACAACGTACGTGATGGTCGACGAAGGCCGTGAGGATTTAGTTCCTCACTAGTATGAGGCGTGGTACCGCCTTGCACATGGAGAGTGGGTTGGACCCCTTCGTGGGTTCAACGGGCCATTCGGCGGGCCGGCTCCGGGGCAGGCCGGGGGTGGGACGTGAGATGGCCAGGCGGACGAGGAGCGGGAGGAGCGAGAAGATCGAGAAGCCGTAGTGAAGCTAGGAACCCAAGCCAAGATTTTGTTGTGTGATATTTGGCTTTTGCGGTATCGCCCTTGGAATGGGCATGTAAAATAGAAGCGTGGCTTGTAAGGGCCCGTAAAGAAGGGCTCGACAAAAATAAGCACGTATCATGTAAATATAACGTGCGTTGCTTGCTTACTGCACTACTCTTGTCTCGTTTATTTTTAGTGGCTTCCGCGTGCGCATTTGAATGCTTAAAAATGAACGGGACGTACTAATATATTTCCGCGAGTCACGGGTCCATTCGGGTCATGTTCGGTCATTAAGCATCGATCGTGATTCTGAGTCGGGACATGACAGTGTGGGGTATCTTGTTTTGGTAGAAGAGCAGGTTTTCCCTTCAGTAGGTGCAATTTGAGGCAACTTGCGATTGGACGATCCGACGAGGGCAGGGAGTGGCGCCGGGGCCATACGACCTGAACATTGTGCGGCCTCTTAGGAGGTGGCGCCGGGGTCATAAATGCCTGATCATTGTGCGGACTCTATGGAGGTGGCGCCGGGGCAATAATACCTGATTAGTGAGCGGCTTCTGACCGAGGTGGCGCCGGGGCAGGTAACCTGATCATTGTGCGGCCTCTGGGTAGAAGTGGCGCCGGGGTATATATACCACCTGATCATTGAGCGGCTTATGAAAAGAAGTGGCACTGGGGTGAAGGGCCTGATCAATGAGCGGCTCCTGGCAGGTTTCTAGGACGGCTAAAGAACGAGAATTATCGAACTGTGCACCGAAATGTGGAAAACGGTTCTAAAAGCCAAGCGGAAATAAAGGCCTGGAGTGATAAGGTGTACCGAAGTTGGGGTAGTTAGCCAGGAAACACACTGCGCATGCGATTGTGTGTTTGTGTACCTGATTGGTTGGTAAGTAGGCCTTTGGTTGCTCAGTTTTGATCACTGACATATTCTTGCGCTGTAAAAAGCCTTAGTAGAATACCAACGGCAGTATAAGTGCTTAGGACCCGGCCACGACCTCGAAAGGAAAATCAAAGCAAGATCCCCGAATAGATGGAATTCTACAGGCTCTTGCGACCGTAGGAGATTTGCTGGGACAACAAGTGCAACAATGGCTGTCTAATGCTGAGAATGCACCGGCAAATGGAAATGGGAATGGTGACCGAACGATGCATGGATTGGTCGAGCAATTCTTGAAGCTGCGACCCCCGAAATTTGTTGGAACCGGAGATCCTGAAGAGGCAGAATCCTGGATCGATGAGTTACAGAAAGCATTTGAACTTCTGAGATGTTTCGAGGAAGAGAAAGTGACCTTGGCGACATACCAATTGCAGGGAAACGCCAATCACTGGTGGAAGGCGACGAAAGAAATCGTGTTCCCAGGAAATATGGCTATCAACTGGAATGCCTTCGTTGAAGCGTTCAACAGAAAGTATTTTTCCGAGTGTGCTCGTGATCGAAAGGTGAAGGAATTCTTGCAACTCCAACAGAACAACTTGACGGAGGACCAGTATGAGGCAAAGTTCGCCCAATTGTCAAGGTACGCCCCTAGACTTATTGAAAATCCAGTCGACAGGGCAAAGCGATTCTGTGATGGTCTCAAGCCTGACATTCAGAGTCAGCTGGTACCTTTGAACCCGAAAGATTATAATGAGTTATATAAACGAGCTCAACTGATCGAGAAGGATTTGCTGGAGAGAGCAACTCTGGCAAAGCCCCCTGATTTTGCTCCTCAGGCAAATCAACGCTCGGGCAAAAGATCTTTCGTGAAAGGAAAGCGTCCCTTCGTCCCCAACAAAAAGCCAAGTTTCCCGACGGCAACTACTGTTTCTGGTGACATCTATTCTATTTGCGGAAGACAACATGGAGATACTTCGTGCCTAATGCGCAAGGGAGCATGCTTCGTGTGTGGCCAACAAGGTCACATGGTCAGGGACTGTCCGCAACGGTAACAGGGTATGCCTTCATAGCAAAGACAGGCGACAGCATCAACTGGAGTTCAACCTCGTGCTAACAACGGTGATCGTCCTCCGGCATAAGGACGAATATATGCACTTACTCAAGAGGATGCTGAGAACTCCGACGTAGTGATCACAGGTACGGTTTTCCTCAATAATCGTGCTGCATATGCGTTATTCGATACTGGAGCGACACATTCATTCGTATCTAGACAATTTGTACGTCTGGCCAAAATTGAGATGAAACCGTTAGAAAATGCACTTAGTGTTTCTACTCCCATGAAAGATGAAGTGCATACTACCCTAGGATGCCAAGGGTGTAAAATTATTATAGGTGGACTGGCGGATATTATAAATCTAGCGATACTGGCCATGTATGATTTTGATGTTATCATAGGCATGGATTGGCTTAGTAAACAGCGAGCCAATATAGATTGTTATAGCAAGGTGATTCAGTTTCATCCACTTGATCGTCCCTACAATACATTTGTGGGAAATGGAGGAGGACCTTCTACTCCTTTGATTTCTACTTCAGAAGCAACCCGACTATTGCAAAAAGGTTGTCAAGGATTTCTGGCAACAATAGAAAATACATCAAAGGAAGACGAGCCAAAGTTGGAAGATAGACTGGTGGTACAAGAATTCCCGGATGTTTTTCCAAAGGAATTACCAGGTCTACCTCCGGAACGGGAAGTAGAATTTGCTATTGAAGTAGTCCCTGGAACGGAGCCTATTTCCAAAGCTCCCTACAGGATGGCGTTGACCGAATTGAAAGAACTCAAAGTGCAATTGCAAGAGTTACTTGATAAGGGCTTCATCCGTCCAAGTGCATCTCCCTGGGGTGCACCAATATTGTTCGTGAAGAAGAAAGACGGATCGTTGCAACTCTGTATAAACTATCGACAGTTAAATAGGGTTACTATAAAAAATAAGTACCCACTGTCGAGAATCGATGATTTATTTGATCAACTCCAAAGAGCATCCGTGTTTTCCAAGATTGATTTACGATCGGGATATCATCAGCTGAGGATAAAGAAAGAAGATATTCCGAAAACGGCGTTCCGAACCCGATATGGCCATTATGAATTCACCGTTATGCCATTCGGTTTGACGAATGCTCCAGCTGCCTTTATGGACCTAATGAACCGAGTGTTCAAGCCATACTTGGATCATTTCGTCATAGTCTTTATTGACGACATCTTGGTATACTCGAAGAATTCGGCTGAACATGAACAACATCTGAGATTCGTGCTTTAGACGCTCAGGGAACACGCACTTTATGCAAAATTCAGCAAGTGCGAGTTCTGGCTATCTCGCGTGGTATTTCTAGGCCACGTAATCTCAAGAGACGGTATATCAGTGGATCCATCCAAAATAGAAGCGGTACTTAACTGGCCAAGACCAACGACCGTGACAGAAGTTCGAAGTTTCTTAGGTTTGGCAGGATACTACAGAAGGTTCGTGGAACGATTCTCTAGCATCGCTATCCCTTTAACGCGATTGCTAAAGAAAGAAACGAAGTTTGAATGGACCGACAAGTGTGAGCGAAGCTTCCAAGAATTGAAACAATGGTTGATGACTGCTCCTGTTCTGACTATACCTAGAGGACCAGGAGGGTTCGAAATATACAGCGACGCCTCTCACAAAGGGCTAGGCTGTGTATTGATGCAGGATGGTAAAGTAGTGGCTTATGCCTCGAGACAATTGAGGCCATACGAATTGAATTATCGAACCCATGATTTGGAGCTTACTGCGATCGTGTTTGCCTTGAAAATTTGGCGGCATTACTTATATGGGGAGCAATTTGTTATCTATACGGATCATCAAAGTTTGAAATATTTATTTTCCCAGAAGGAGCTGAATATGAGGCAACGACGTTGGATGGAACTTCTCAAGGATTACGACTGCGAAATATTGTACCATCTTGGCAAAGCAAACAAAGTTGCCGATGCTCTTAGTCGAAAATCTACGATTGCACATCTAATGGTCAAGGAATGGACCCTACTTGAGGAAGCTCAGGACTTGGACTTCAAATTTGAAGTTGGACATCATCAGAACTTACTGGCTGCTCTCAGAATCGAGCCGGACATCATATTGAAAGCCAAGGAGTTACAACAAACAGACCCGGAGATTCAGAAAGTCCATAAGGAGTTAATAGAAAAGAAGAACTCCAAGTTTCATATGGCTGATGACGAAATTTTGAAGTTGAATGGACGCCTATACGTGCCGAAGGATGAGCAACTCAAGGAAGAAATCTTGACGAAAGCCCACAAGAGCAATTACAGTATTCATCTAGGCAGTACCAAAATGTACCAGAATTTGCGACCACATTTCTGGTGGAATGGCATGAAGACGGACATAGCCAAACATGTGGCTAAATGCTTGACGTGTCAACAAATCAAGGCTCAACATTGCAAGCCTGGCGGATTATTGCAACAGTTGAAAATTTCTGAATGGAAATGAGAACACATCACGATGGATTTCGTAATGGGATTGCCAAGAAGTCAGAGAGGAAATAATTCCATATGGGTAATTGTCGATCGATTGACAAAATCAGCCCATTTTCTTCCTGTAAGAAAGGACCTTCCATTAGAAGGGTATGCTGAGTTATATGTTCGCCATATTATGCGACTACACGGAGTCCCAGTAACGATCACATCTGATCAAGATCCGAAATTTACGGCAACTTTCTGGCGGAGTCTTCAAACCGCTATGGGAATGAAGTTGCAATACAATACAGCTTATCATCCGCAAACGGATGGTCAAACATAAAGAACTATCCAGATCATTGAGGATATGTTGCAAGCATGCGTCGTCGATTTCAAAGGGAGTTGGGATGGACATTTGCATCTCATTGAATTTGCTTACAATAACAGTTACCAGCAAAGTATCGGAATGGCACCATTCGAGGCATTATACGGTCGAGCTTGCAGAACTCCAGTTTGTTGGGACGAGGTCGAGGAAAAGAAGGTCAAGGGTCCAGAACTAGTCCAACTCACCAATGAGGTGGTGCAAGTGGTTAGAGATAAGTTGAGGACTGCCAAAGTCGACAGAAGAGTTATGCTGACAGACGTAGGAAGCCTCTATAATTCCAAGTAGGCAACCACGTGTTTCTTAAAGTGTCACCCATAAAGGGGTGTGTCGCGTTTTGGGAAGAAAGGTAAGCTAAGTCCTAGGTACGTAGGACCTTTTGAAATTCTAGAATGAATAGGAAATTTGGCTTATCGGTTGGCGTTGCCACCGAAACTTGCTCAGTTGCATGACGTGTTTCATGTATCCATGTTAAGAAAGTATGAGCCCGATCTGGCACATGTGCTGAATTTCGACGAGGTCGAATTGGACAGCAGAGTGTCCTATGTTGAGGAGCCTGTGCGGATCGTGGATCGTAAAAAGCAAGTGTTGAGAAATAAAACTATTCCCGTAGTAAAGGTCCTATGGCGACACCATGGCATAGAGGAAGCTACCTAGGAAGGTGAGGAAATCATGAAGCGGCAGTACCCACATTTATTCGAGGAACCATGTACGCGTTTAAATTTCGAGGACGAAATTTTATTCGAGGGGGAGAATTGTGACATCCCCGATTTCAAGCCTAGGGAGTCGAGGGCTAGTGATAAATGGATGAGCGGGTAATTCGAGCCGAGGGTCAGTAATGGAATGGACAATATGATCGGAACGAGTGTACTGAGGGTTGGTCATGGGTCGATCGAAAGATTGTCCATGAATTGGCCTCAGGATCGATAGTGGAGTGACTCTTTGACCACGCAAAATGGTTAGAGTAATGACCGTGGAGTGACCCATCGACCATAAAGGCCGTAAGTGGAACGATCCGGGATAACGGTGGATTAGTCCGGTGTCGGCATGTGTCGGTGATGCATCGGTCGCAGATGACCATGAGTTAAATCCGGGTACTGGATGCCACGAGGCTACATGACAACCGAGGGTCGACCATGGGTCGTTGATACTCGAACCTGGACCGATCGCGAATCGGCCGCGAATCATTGCGTCAAGTCAGGTAGGCCATTGACGAGCCATGTACCAGGCCACGAGCCTAGTGGCTTGGCCGCGGACTAGGCCATGTGCCAATCGCGTCGGCCAGGCCGTGTGCCCGAACGTGACCGGCCATTGTACCCGTCGGCTAGGCCACGGACCGACTACGTGCCCGGTCGTGTGTCGGCCATTGTGCCTGACCCTTGTGCCAGGCGTTGTGCCTGTAAGATCCGGTTCCGATCTAGTCCTGTGCCCAAGACATAGGGCCATGAGCCATGCATCGTGCCCTTCATAAGCCGTTGCGCGTGTTTGGCTGTGAACCGATCCCTCGCTCGTGTGACCAGGCGTGGTGCTCGGCACGTCGCCCATGCGGCCGGCATGGTGCTCGGCACATTGCACGTGCAGCCGGCATGGTGCTCGGCACGTCACCCGTGCAGCCCGGCGCAGTGCCCGTGCGGCCCGGTCATGGCCCGGCCTCGTGCCCGTGTGGCCCAATAGTACGCCAGGCTACGCGCCCAGTCAGACCCGGCCATACGCCCAGCAACCCGGTTTGCTTGGGTTTATTCCATTTTGCTTGGGCCTTGGTTTGGTTGTGTTAAATGGTTTTTGAGGATATTCTCGCATCGAACCTCGGGTTGAATGGGTCAACTAAGCGTGGACAAACCTCGGAAATTTGGAGAATAGTATGATGCGGGATTACGATTATAGTGTCGTTACCGGTTTCGTGTAAACCGATTGGCATGAGAAGTTTTTGTGTGGAACCAGCAAGCTTGGGAGGCTCCCACGGTTCAGACTTGCTGAGGAAAAGAAGACAAAATTAGTTGACTTGGTCAAAGGTTCATTTAAGGCCATTTAATGCCATTTATGGCCTTCATAATTGGACCCCCATTAGGTGTCCCCTTCTATTATTGATGACCAGCTGAGGTGTGCCATGCATTAAAGGCCAATTGACGACTCAATGACCCTCAGTAATGGGGCACAAGGCAAGGCCATTCGGCCAAGCCAAG